CTTTAATAACTCAAGTTTTTAAACTAATTGGTGGTATCTAAGTCACATAATTCTTTTAAACGGGTGTTACTTTTACGTTTTGCGCGCGTTTCTGCTCTCGTGCTCCGCGTACGTTCTTATTCTTGATCCCACTATATGTGACTTAGATTTTGTCGTTTTTGTACTATGCTCTTGCATTTATTTTCGCTTTCACTCTCGTGGATTCTGTTGTTTTCGTACTCCCGTTCTTGCATTTGCTCCTGTTTTTACTCTTGCACTCCGTGCGCACTTTTACTTCTGATCCCACTATATGTAACTTAAATTTTGTTACTTTCGCACTCCCGCTTTCGCACACGTGCCCGCTCTGCTATGCTCGACTTAGGGTGGTTTTAGAACTTTGGATTCAAATTTCCATCTTTACTTTTGTTGCCATTCTCCAACCACATAAACTTTGGAAATAGTTGGTGGTTATTATACAATACTCTATATATGTTAATTAGTCAATTTTTTTTTTTTTTTTTTAAGAAGTTAAAGCAACTTACTAATAATCACATGTTATCACATCACATCTTTAATTAGTCAATGTTATACGTGCATATAATCATATATATTGGTCACATTCTATAATAACTAAGTATTCCCTCCTTTCCGTAAAAAGTGTTACTTTTAGAGAACCATGACTCACAAATTGAACTGTCACGATTCTCCCAAATGCAACACTTTTTTTAAAACGGAGGTAGTAAGAGTTTTGGGTTCAAATTTGCATCTTTGCTTTTGTTCTCATTTTCTAACCACTTAACTTTGGAAGTAGTTGGTGGTTATTACATAATATATACATATACTGATCACCATATGTTGGGCATATTCTTTAATTGCATATTTGCTTTTATTCCCAATTTCTAACAACTTAAACTTTGGAAATTCTAGGTGGTTATTACATAGTATATGTATTACATGTTGGTCACACTCTCTAATAATTTAATGCTACAAATTAATGAAATATAATATTTGGTCAAAGAAGAATAAGATGGGGAAGTTATAAGGCATGTATAAAGTGAAGGGAACGTGGGCTGCCTATTTGAGGGATTTTTATGATTTGATTGGATAAGTCAAAATTTTGATCTTATTCAATGTCTTTAGAGAGTATAAACTCTCATTAAACCTGCTACAAATTTATGAACAATAATATTTGGCCAAAGAAGCATGAAAAGCTTTAAAAGTCATGTGGCGAACGGCTGTTATTTTTAGGGCAAAAATATTTTAATTTTGAACAAATAACATCCTATTATTTATTTTTTGGTATATAATTTCATTAAGTTTGAAAAAAATGAATAAATAAAAGCTTAAATAAAGGTTTATGTTGTGTATATAAGTCTTTTAAGTTTAAAAAATGAGTAGAAAATGACTTGAAGTCAGTTAAAATAAAAAATTGGGCGAATTGCAAAAAAAAACCTCATTTACTATTACCCAGTTGTGAAAAACCCCTTATGAATATTTTTGGCAAAAAAATCCCTCTCAACTATTCCAAGGGAGTATGTTTAACTAATATCCATTTAAGTGGTTGTCTGGGAAATTTTTTGTACGAAATTACCCCTTAACATATTATTCTTCACATATTTTTTTTTTTTTTTCTCTCTCCTCTCTCCACGTCAAGCAAGCCTTCTCATTTCTTCAAACACAAAGTTAACAGAAGATCAAGAAACCCAATTGTTGAAAATTTATCTTTCAACACTGCTTGGAAAACATGATATAGCACATGTAAATAATAGTTGAGGCTACAAGAATAGTCAGTTATATTCACTTAATCTATGACTTATTTTTATTTATTTACTTTTATTATCATAACCAAAAAAAAATCCATGTAATTGAACAAATCATTTGCATGTAAAAAGTGTTAACGTTTCTTTTGGTTTCTTACCATCTTGATAATAAGAATTTAAAATAAAAAAATAAAAATAAAAAATAAAAAAACCATCTTAATAATAAGAGTGAGTAAACTTCCAAGAAATTATTCCCTATACTTGGTCCACATAGTCTGTAATTTTTGAGTAGTAAATGGTGGAATCAAAACAATATATGAGATGATAAATGCATTTCTCTCAAACTAAATGACTTAAATGTCCTTTATAATTAGATTCTTGTGAATTGAATAGAGGGTAACATGTCATTTCACATTAACAGCAGTCATATTTTTAGGTCTTTAACTTGAGTACATCAACTACAACAATTTCAGTCTCAAAAAGTTACTTTGGGGTATTTCGTGTTTTCGAAGTAAGTAAAAAAAATTCAGATTTGAAAAAGAAATTATGTTGCTTTTTAATTGCCAATTTTAGTCCACTTACCTTGTAGTAGCATAATTCAATCAAGGAAAAGAAAGAAATTGGACTAAGGTAACATGTTAAAATAGCTGGCTGCTAAAGAACAAGTGCACTGAAGGAGTTCTTGAGCTGCTTAATTTTTCTATCTTCTATTCCAACGCCATGGTGGATTTTCTCTCTCCTGTGCAGTTGTACTCCATTTTATTTTATTAATTATACATAGCTTAAATATGATTTTATTAGCTTTCTATTTTATTTTATTTTATTTTATTTTTTTGTGAATTTTTCATTGTTACTTCACATAACTTGCTTGATGGAGAGAGTAAAAAAAAAAAAAAAAAAAAAAAAAAAAAAAGGTCTAAGAATAATATGTTAAGTTGAATTTCGTTCGAAAAATTCCCTCAAACCACTTAAATAAATATCAAAATACCCCCTTAAGATAGTTAAGAGGGATTTTTTGCCAAAAATATTCATAAGGAGGTTTTTCGCAATTGACTAATAGTCGCCGCTGGCCGGGGGGGGGGGGGGGGGCACCCTTATATCTTTCTATAATGCCCTTATAAAGGCAAAGTGAGAAAAAAACACCCCTAATATAACGTTTACATTTTGGGAAAATAACACCCCTATCTTTTATTTTGAATATATAAGTCCGTTAAGATTGAAAAAACGTGGCAAAGAAGGGCTTGATGTCATTGTTTCGTTAAAAATTTATTCATGTGCACTGCACATGACATTTTTAAGATATAAAATTTTAAAAATACTATTGTCCCTTTCAATAATGTCCTTATATATACATACACACACTTATCACATTTAGGCTCCATTTGTTTTGACGTAAAATATTTTTCTCAGAAAATATTTTCTTTTTTCAGGTAATATATATATATTAGTGTTTGGCAAAAGCCTAGGTCGAGGTTGAGGTCGAATCCATCCGGTGGGGCGTTTAAAATAGCTCGCTGAAAATTGATGAGTAAGTTATTTTTCTTAGGTTTTAATAAATATATTTTTCGTAAATATTTTACGACAACTAAATATCAAAAAATACAAAATATATTTTCCAAAAAATATTTTATGCTCAAACAAACGGAGCCTTAATTAATTTTTACCTGTTCAGTTGTAGAGGGATATTTTAGTCATTTCAGCATTCAAGTCATTATTTGCACCAAAATTGAATGTTAAGAAAGTTTAGGATGTATATGGGTCATATAATGTATATACATATCATAAGGGTGTTTTTTGCCTACAACCCTATATTATATATATATAAGAGGAACAATTTAGCTATTTCACATTTAATTAGTATTTTACCTATTTTTTTATTCAGTTATAGATGGACGTTTTAATCTTTCCAGCATTCAGGTCATTATTTGCTCCAAAATTAAATGTTAGGGACTTTTTAGAACGTATAAGAGGTTATACACATTATATGCATAACATAAGGGTATTTTCGCTCGTGATCCACTATTTTTATGATACGTTGGATAAGGTCAAAATAAAAATGTATATATTCAGTGAATTATTGAATGCTTTAGAAGGTCCTATATCATAATCTTCGATAAAAACTAAAAATAAAAAAATAATTATTATAAAAAACACTCCCCCAATCTCTTTTTTCCAATTTCTTATGAAGACAGGCAACTCATTATCTTCTATAGGTGACAGCAGTATCCCAAATAATAACGAGGTTATGTAATTTCAATCATTCGATTCTTTTTAAAATAGAAGGAAAATGTGGGGGACAAAACTTGTCGTGTATGCTTTTCTTTTCATGGTAATGGATTTGACCAAATGGCCATTACCAGATCGATGGAAACCAGACCAAGCCAGCCCACAAGAAGTGGTTGATAGTAAGGTTGTTTATCCAGACGGAGCAAAGTAAAGAACATATACTTGGAAGATATTGTAGTAACATACTACTATATTGGATAAACTGGGGACATATATATATATAGTTTTACCAACTAGGGCACTGAATGTATATATATATATAAATTCAGTGGCCTAGTTGGTAAAGCGTCTAACTCCTCACCTAGGTAGTAAAACGTCTAATCCCTCGCGATCGAGTTCCCTTACCCATATATATATGTATATATACATATATGTATATTCAGTGGCCTAATTGGTAGAGCGTCTAACTCCTCGCGATCAAGTCCCCTTACCCCTAATGTGCTATGCACGTTGATTCTGTAACCCCTGCAAACAGTAGGGAGTGATTTGCAACATTTCTTAATACTTTTAGGTGGTTATGTGAAAAACAAATGTTGAGGGGTTAATCTACAAAATCGTGAAAGTTTAAGAGAAATTTTTGCAGTTTACCCAAATATATTTATACCATTTTTCTAGTGTTTTGCTCTTTTATTTATTTATTATTATTACTATTATTTTATTTTGAAAGATTTGTTTTGCTCAACTTTCATGACTGCTGAAATGAAATTTCAAGGAAGTTGAGGAAGAAAGCCTTCAGATTTGACCACAACTTCCAATTATTAAGAACCTCCCCTGTTCTAACTTTCATTTGATTCACATTTTTATTGAAAACATAAATGGAAACAGATGACATGAAGCAGTAATTTGTGTTCAGTTTGATGTCATTTTCAGTCAATTGTTTTCAATAATTGAACCAAATAGACCATAAATTTCATGAATTTTTTGCAAGAAACTTCCCCCCTAGCTTTCCTCTTCTCCTAAGCAAACCAAACCACCGAAAAGTACCATATACAGGTGTATGCAACAGTATAAAACTTGACAAAGCTCGCAAAGCTGCTTTCAAACATTGTCTTGCAGTCCAACAAACTAAACAAGAAACAAAACTCTAGTTGTTAGTGTTACGACAATAATAGTTGCTTGAGTGGCACTATATAATACTCTCTCCCTTTTGGCAGTGGCACATAAGCGCATATCACTTTGCCATCCTCCTATTTGTTATAGCTTCCTTTCCTAATATATTCAAACATTTTCATTTCCTCTCTTCTCTACCAACACTTATTTCTATCCTCGTGCACTTGATCGCCTGAGTGCACACACAATCAGGAGCTTAGAGGCAGTGCAAGGAGAGGCAGCAATGGACCAAAGCAGCAGCAAGCCTGTTAAGACATTACTTGTACTCCTGAACTGCATATTAATGTCAATTGGTCAAATAGGTGGCTCAATTCTTGTAAGGCTATATTTTTTGCATGGAGGAAAGAAGCAATGGCTTGCTGCTTGGTTACTCAGTGCTGGCTTCCCCATCCTCATCATCCCCCTTGCCATTTCTTATGCACAAGCGAGAGCCAAGGCTAGAGTCACCAGACTACTCATCACACCAAGGCTTGCTGCGTCTAGTGCCTTCTTGGGAGTTCTCCTTGGTCTTGATGGCTACCTCTACTCTTTCGGATTATCTTACCTTCCTGTCTCGGTTTCTTCTCTTCTCGGATCAACCCAGCTCGCCTTCACAGCAATTTTCGCGTTTATTGTTGTGAAGCATAAGTTCACTCACTACTCGATCAATGCTGTGGTTTTGATGACCTTTGGATCAGTTGTTCTGGGGCTTCACATGAGTGGAGATCGTCCTACCGGAGAATCTGATGGGAAGTATTTGTTGGGCTTTTGCATGACCCTTGCTGCTGCTGCGCTTCATGGTTTTATTATGCCTGCAGTGGAGTATACTCACTTGAAGGCTGGCATGACCATCACTTTTGATCTTGTCATGCAAGTTCAATTCCTTGTTTCCATGTTTTCCACTCTGTTTTGCACTGTTTTCATGATCATCAACAATGATTTTCGGGTAAGTGGCTTAATGGCTGACAACTAAAACCACCAGTCTTTAGAAGCAAAAATCAGTAACATAATTTCTACAAAACAAAAACATTATGGATCTTTTCTAACATAAGTTGTACAAGCTTCTCTTACAATTAAGTAGTTATGGTCAAATGACGTGTAACATTAGCCTCTGCAAAGTATCACTTCAAATTGTTATTTTTTCATTGTGCAATGTCCAAGGTTCTGTTTTCTAATTGAAGATGGAATAAAACAAGTATTGACCAACATCTTGTCTGGTTCTAACCGCCTACTTTGATGCATGTGTGTAGGCTATTCCTGAAGAGGCAAGAGAATTTGATCTTGGAGAGACCAAGTACTACATGATACTAGTGTTGGCAGCAATAGGAATGCAATTGTTGATTATAGGAAGTCTTGGATTGATCTTCAGCTCCACATCACTCTTGGGAGGCCTTGTATCCTCTCTTCTAGTTCCAGTACAGCAGATCTTTGCTGTAATATTCTTACCTGAAAGCTTCAACGCCGAAAAGGGCATGGCCTTAGCCATGTGTCTATGGGGTTTTGCCTCTTACTTCTATGGAGAATACAAGGTAAGCCGCGAGAAGCTAGCAGCAAAACAAGAACCAGATCAAGAGTCAGTTTGATTTCATCTTCAAATTTGATTGACCTCCAGTCATGTTGTCCATGTTTTAAATGTACTTACTGTGATGCTATAAAATGAGAAGAACAGTGATGAAAAAAACTCGCTTGTTCTAGCTATAGTATGGTTTGAGTATGGTTTGGAGGTCATGTTCTTAGCTTTATCCCCATTTTCCTGTTGGAAAAGGCTAAATGAGCAATTCTAATCCCTATTTTCCTATCTAGTGCTTGCCTTGTGTCTGGTTTGAGAACTTTGCTACCGCAATCAAGGCTTTATTGCTTGGTTTGTTATAGGAGCAGCCTGATAACCCCTCCTATAGTGATATGTCTTCAGCTTGGTTTACAATAGCGCGCTTTCTATAGCAATTGTCTTTGCCCTTAGTGTGTGCTATAAAATGAGAAGAATAGTGGTGAAAAAAACTCACTTGTTCTAGTTGTAGTATGGTTTGAGCAAGTTTTGGAGGTCATGTTCTTAGCTTTATCCCCATTTTCCTGTCGGAAAAGGCTAAATGCGCAATTCTTATCCCTATTTTCCTATTTAGTGCTTGCCTCGTGTCTGGTTTGAGATCCTTGCTATCACAATCAAGGCTTTATTGCGTAGTTTGTTATAGCAGCAGCCTGAATACCCTTCCTAGAGTGACATGTCTTCAGCGTGTTTGCAATAGCACGCTTTCTATAGCAATTGTCTTTGCCCTTAGTGTGTTCTGTTAGTATCAGCAGATTATTTCTGTGTTTTGGAGCAGTTTGTTCTCAGATTTGCAGTTGTTTTGTTGATTTCATGTTTAGTTGTTTTAGTTTTATCAATGGTTTGGCCTTGTTTGCACTAGTTTAGTTAGTTTTGTTACTTGTTTGCTTTTTAAGTTGGCCTCCTTTCTTCTTTATAAAATTAAGAGGCCATCATGAGCAGCAACACTATGAGAGCACTTTCATAATTAAATCATATAGATAAACATCACTAAAACTAAGAAAATCATTCAAACCAATCCACTGTAAGCAAAAACAGGGCAACCTGTATAGAGTTGAGGTATAGCTGTATCCTGAAACTCCGTGTACTAATTCTTCGTATTTTTTCAGTACTTTTTCCCCTTCCTCATCTCTTCATACAGCTTCTCACTCTCCCAATGGTCATATTAGAAGTTAAAATCAACAAAGAGATCCCTCCCAAGTCCCAACAACACTTTGGTGGCTTGTTTCACTCACTCACGTAACTTCTCACTCTCAAATGAAACTTAACTCTACATATAGATGGGCGGATTTCAATTTGGGGGCCAAACTAGTATTATGTAATTAGACTTTTTAAAATTATTAATCAACTGCAATATATATATAATGTGTGTGTGTATTTATTTATAATATTAGTCTCAGACTCTCAGTATACATTGGAAAAAATATAATTCAAACAATAACGAAAATGCAACATAAATAGAAAGTGAAGGAAAAGAAAAAACACATTGAGAAGAGAAAGTAATAAGTTAAATGTAGGAAAGAGAAGTGGTAAAGAAAAAAAAAAGTGTTAAATAATTAATTTTCCTTCCACACCTGTTTCAATTTGACTACTTTGATTCCACCTTGGGAAAAATATATTATTATTACCTTGTGGATTTTTTTAAAAAATCCACAAGTTTGAAACAAAAAGGATTATTAGAAACAATATAAAAAAGTACTTTACTAACTCATACAAGTTATAAAATTTGTCATTTAACAAGTGAGAATTAAAAATATTAATATATATGATATAAGTGTTGTTGTTTGCATTTTTGTCATTTTCCTCCTTTCCGGTACTCCCGAAACTAGCCTATGGAGATTAACAAATAAGACAAGGAAAATTGATGTATTTTTATTGGGAGGCGGTATTCGCACTCGAGTTTTCTACACTTACACTACACTCTTAAAGGAAATGACTCTTCTATTCTTATTTTTTATAAATAAATACTAATTTTTTTTAAAATACCACAATTACCCTTTTTAGATATTGATTTACCAAAAGAAAATATAAAAAATAATGACGTTTTGTATCCCCTCTCTCTTTTACTTAGGGTTTAGTTTTTATCTTTGCAAGTAACATGAAAGATCTCGAAGATGAAGACATGGTGGAGTTGAACAAAGTAATTGATCTTATTAGCACGAGAAGTACAGAAGAACTATCAAACCTTCATGAGCCATTCAACTCCATGGATGCCAATGGTGATCGTAATTTTTTTTTTCTTTTATTTTTCTTTTCGTATTATGTTCTTTGAGTTTAATTTGATTTTTTTTTTTTTCTTTCGATTTAAGTGATTTTTAAGAATTAATTTGGACTGTTATAGAATCTTAAACTTTACCTTGTTGAGAAAAGCCCTAATTGTTTTAACAATAAAATTTCTATGAACATGAATTTTGTGGGAAAAAAAAAAAAAAAAAGGAAAGACAGAGAGATGTATATTATATACAATTTTTATACTTTTTGACTTGTTTTAATGTTTAAGCATTTGTAATTCTAATCAATTTTTGTTATATATTGTGTTTTAATAATAAACTAAACCATTCCCTAAATTCACTTGCTACAGCCTTCTTGTACCAGTGGAAATGATTAGAGATAAGAAAAGTAGTGCTACTGTATTCAATTCTTGTTTTCCTCCCTGTTCGTAGACAGTGTGTGGGGTTAAGGGGAGTATAGTATTTTATTTTTTTCTTTTCTTTTTTTTCTTTTTTTTTAAATGAATTTGGTAATGTTTTTTCATTCTATTGGATTGCTCTGCTTTCAGTTGTTTTAGAAACAAATCCATTCTCGCATTATCGTCAATTTTTATCACATGCTTGCATACTCAACTAAGTGGTCATGTCATGCATTAATCAGTTTTGATGCTAATAATCTTTACTTTTGATAAGATACTTTTTATCATGTGTTCTTTTGTGAGGGTACTTCTGATATATAATACCGACTGTATCCACTTACTAATTGCCACCCACTAACTGCCCTTGCTCAAGCATTGGTTTCAATCTAGCTTGTTCATAAGACTGTGCTTTGCTTTAAATGATTTACTTGTGATATGTAGTTGGGCATTAATTATACGAGATAGTGAAGTTAATAGTGAGCAAAGAGTTAAGATTCATATGGTAATTTTTGTGTTATAATATTATATTCTCCTAAAACAACGTGATTCTTACTATATGTCGAAAATATTTGGTACAAAATATTGAAGTTTATTTATGATACATTTGATGGCCTTTATGATACGCAAATTTTACAGATGAGAAAAAGAAAGAAGAAATGGGCACCAAAATCAAGTAATCACACTTGGGTATAACAAGTTGTTTTCTCTGTCCAAGAAAAAGTTTTCAAATCGGGAAGAGCTTATTGGTAGTATTCATAACATAGAAATATCTCAAAGATTTGCCACTAATATTAAAATGTCCATAAGAGATCGTTATGTGATCATTATCTGTGATAGAGGAGGTCAATACTGTGATTCCAACATTTCAATGGAACAAAGGAAAAGGATAACGGCATCTCGTTTGATAAATTGTCCATTTGAAATTTGGGGTAAAAGAAAATATGGATTTTGGAAGGTGGAGTCAAAAACTATGTCACATAATCATGAACTTTCAATTAGGACATCCTTCTTGCCATCGATTTTCAAAAGAAGAGATCATGCAAATTAAGAAATTGACAAAGGCGGGAATACCACTGCGACAATACTTTCATCTCTTCGGCAAAGTAATTCAAATCTTCTAGCAATATCTAGGAACTTATACAATACAAAGGCTAAAATCATGAAAGAGAGTTTAGCAGGTCATACAATGATTCAAGCATTGTTTGAAGAATTGGGTCAAGGTGGTTTTACTTTTGATGTTAAGTGTGACAAGGATAATCGTTTGACTCATTTGTTTTTTGCACACCCTTCTTCAATTGCATTAACAAAGAATTCTCCGTATGTTTTTGTGATGGATTGTACTTATAAGACAAATAGATATAAGATGCCGTTGCTTGATATTATTGGAGTGTCAAGTTCCAACAATTCATTTTATTCTTTTTTTGCTTTCCTGCAAAAAGAAGAAGAAGAGGACTATGTTTGGGCTTTGGAAAGGTTCAAGAAAATTCTTGGTGATGATAGACATCCTTCAGTGATTGTATCTGATAGAGAGTTAGCACTAATGAAAAGTATCCAAGCTATCTTTCCTGGAGTTGCACATCTTTTATGTGTATGGCACATTGAGAAGAATATTCTTTCAAATTATAAGCGTCATTTTGAAGAGAAAGATGATTGGGATACATTTCTATCTATTTGGACAAATTTGATAAACTCTCTTGATGAATCAACATTTGATGAAGCTTGGAATCATTTTGAAATTCAATACAAAGAACAAAGATCTATTTTAAATTACATCAAAAGCACTTGGCTTCCATTCAAAGAAAGATTTATAAATGCATGGACAGAGAAATATGCACATTTTGGAAATCGTGTCACTTCAAGGGCTGAAGGTGCACATGCAACACTGAAGAGATATCTACAAGTTTCAACACGTAATTTTTGAGAGGTAAAAGAAAAAATTTCTCTTGCAATTGAAAATCAATTTCAAGAAACAAAGGCAAATCTTTTGAGTGAAAAGGTCTATATTCCACATAAATTTAACATTCATTTCTTCAAAGAACTTATTAATCATGTCTCTACATTTGCACTTGGGAAGCTTTATAAGCAATATGAGATGACCAAATCTGATACACCATTGCCTCCATGCAAAAATCATTTTTCAAGTACTATGGGTCTTTCTTGTGCACACAAGATAAGGGACGAGAAATATATAATTTTGCAGCTTGCTCATATAAATCCACAGTGGAGAATTGATAGATCATTTTTTTGATCATTTTTTTTATATGGGTGTTGGTTTGATTAATCAAGAAGACCATATTGATGATCTTCTCAAGGAGTTCCATGATAAATACAAACAAATGCCGCTTACTGAATAGGAAGATTCTCGGAAGCAAATTGCTCAACTTGTTGATACTTCCGTTCCTGTGATTCTTGCACCTAAAATTTAACCCCACAAAGGACGTCCATTGGGTTCAAAGGGAAAAAAAAAACAATAATAGTTTTACAAGTCGAGATCCTTCTGCATTTGAGATCGCTGAAAAGATCCGACAATGTGGTGTATGCAAAAACGTTGGGCATAACAGTCGCACTTGCAAATAGAAAGTTGGAACAATTAGATTGAGCCCTCAGTAATAGTTTTCCATGGAATTAAAGCGCTTTTGTAAGTTTTTTTTTTAATTATTATTTTAATAGCTTCTTGTTATGTCCTTATTTTTATTTTTATTTTTTACAGGTGTAAAATTAATTCTTGGAAATTAGCTAAGATGTTGATAACATCATTATGTATGTAAGTTTCTTTGCTAGGTATTGATTTTACATTACATATGCATTGAAGTTATTATCATATGAAAGAATGTTAATGCATTTTTTACTCATTGTGCAGGTGATATGTCATTTCCTTTGAGCTTGATTAGTTTATAAATGCTGATGGATGATGAAAATAGCTGGATAAATTATGAATGAAAAATGTAATTGAAATAGTTTTTGTCATGTTGATTTCATCTTCACTTTAAAGATGATGTTAAATCTTATTGATGATTTCAGTGACTTTGAAATTAGATAATGGTTTTGGCTCTTTCAATGGCTTCCCCTTGATATCGACTCTTTTTTATTTTGCTAATAAAATGTTATAAATTGTGTTGAATAATGTATATCAACTCTTTTTA